TAATAGATAATAACCATCTTTGTTTAGTTACCATTTTTTTCAGTTTACTAGATCAAATATATTTTTATCAGAGAAAATAAAAATGAGTTTTTAAATCTCTATTAGACAGCTCTGATTAAAGTCTTTATGATTGAAAAATTTTGAACTATTTGAGCATTTAGTGATTTTTGTTTTTCTACCATTTTTATTTTTCAGAAACCTAGACTTTTCTTGGGGAAATTCTATAATCTATGAAGAATTTTATTTTTAGAACATTTTTGAAGTGTTTTTTTTTTTTATTTTTTATTTTAGGGAAAAAGTAAAAGATTACTTACTAATAGCCTTTAAAATTAATCGTACCTTTCATTTTATATATTGGACTTAGTAGCTAAGTTTCCTATTCTTTAATTTAAATTGGTGTCTTTAATATCCAATATAAATGTACTTCCTCTGCAGGAAGATAATTGGAGAAAATTTTATTAAATATGGCCAATGTTTAATAATATGTCTACTGTAAAGAACTCATTAAATTATTATGAAAAGCACTAAGATATTGGTAGGTAGGTAGGCAAAAGATGAGAAAGGATAATTTGCAAAAGAAGAATTAAGATTCAGGCCTGCAACAGAGTTTTATTTATTTATCTATCTATCTATTTATTTATTTATTGTGGTGCTGAGAATTTAACCCAAGACCTTGTGCATGCAAGGCAAGCACTCTACCAACTGAAGTATGTCCCCAGCCCTAGAATATTTAATACTGCTGGCATCTATTAAATTCAAATTAATTTCTTTCTTCCTATTAAATAGCAAAAGTAAAAAGAATAGATAATCTCAATATTCAAAGGTATTAATGAAGCTGGTAGTCCCTTCTTTTTTTGTACATGGAAAACCAGTTTGATGTTAAGTCTTCAGAGCAGCATGTTCTTCACAGTTTTTTAGTCCAGTTTTTAAACACTTTGCAGATCCTGTTCTAGATAAATGATCCAAATGCACAAACATGTTCACTTCAATGTTACTTGTAGTAAAGAAAGTAAGATATAATGTTGTATTGGTTATCTAATAACCWCCTACCCTCACCCTTTTGAAGTATTTTAAAGTAGACTTTTATTATCTCACACTTTGAGTAGGTGAGGAATTTGGGAGCAAATCCTTATATGGGTGAATTTGGCTCAAGGTTTCATAAGGTTGCAAACAGGATGTCAGATAGGGTTGTAGTCTATAAAGACTTGATATGGATTTAACTTGAGTATCTGCTTACAGGAAAGCTCACAGCTGTAGGCAGGAGGCTTTGGTTCTTTGCTGCATGGATCTGTTGGTAGAGCAACTTGACTGTTTTCATGATCTGACAGCTGAATCCTTGGGGTTGTGGGGGATGTGTGGAGAATGCCTTTTATAGCGTAGTTGCAGTGTCTGTGTAGGGGTCCGAGGAGGTCTTCAGAAGCAGAGGAGACTACTACATGGGAAGAACATATCACCCTGTGGGGGTTTTGAGGTCTCCAGAACTGGAACAGACCTCTACTTGGACTTTCCACGTCCTTGACCATGTTGCAGAAAAGGATTTATAGAGCCTCAGGTACGAGTAGCTGAACACCAGATTTGTCATAGGGGAAAGTACMTGTTTGATAATTGGGGTATGCGCGATCTTAGACTGAGTTTGGGGTTTCAGCCCCTCAGAAGGACAGTAGCTAGGGGGCTGAGCTAGAGGTAGAGTCAGGATGGGGTTATATGCATTTAGTGTCAGTTTTCTTTGTGTGCTTTTCTATTGTCTAAGCATGTTCTAATTCTGCTACTTCCTACATTTCTTATTGTCTTATTAGCATCTTAAATCTCTACCCAACGGGTGTGTCTTGCTATTAGGAAGCTAGAGTCATTTATTGGTCATAAAAGTCTCTAATATGCATGATCCCAAAAGGAGTAGTTCTTCCAGATGCCTTGTGGTTGTCTTGCAGGTTTATTTTTTTTGTTTTCCATCAGTCAGTCGGCAAGCTATGGGCAAGGACACCCAGGTAAGGACTCTGGTGCAAGGACAACAGTTGAGTTGCTCATAGTTGTTCTGCATTCTAGTGGTTTGTGGTATTTCTCTTGAGCCTTACACACTGTTCTCTCTGGATCCCTAAATTCCTCTCTCAGTGGAAGTCTTACATTGTCATTTCCACCACATTTGATGTTAGTTGAAAATCCAGTCTGTCCTCAGTGGGAGAAATATTAAGCTGAACCCCTTGCCCCGCAACTCCCAGTACCAGTGGTAGAACCCAGGCCCTCAGGTATGCTAGTCAAACATTCTACCGCTAAGCCTCATTTATAGGCCTTTTATTTTGAGACAGGATTTCACTGTTGCCCATGCTGTCTTGAGCTTCTTGTCCTTTTGCCTCAGCCTCCTGAGTAGCTGGGATTATAGACATGTACCACCATGCCTAGTTTAAGCTCCAATTCTTGAAGAAAGGAATATCAAATAATTTTTAATGTATTTTAAAACCGCCAAAAATGTCCAGCAGTTAAGTAAAATGGGCACAGATCTGAATTTACAGTAATTACAGTAAGGCAAAGAAAATTAGAAGAGAATGTGCAAAATATCTTAATAATTGTGTTAGGATTTTGGAAAAAATAGCGGTGAGCTTTTCTCCCTGTGTTTGCAAACTTTCTGTGTTGATATTATGTGACTTTGTTTTGGTACAGGGGATTGAACCAAATGCCTTGTGTATGGTTAGCACATGCTCTACTACTGAGCTATGGCCCTAGCCTTTTGACTTTTGTAATAGAATAATTCCTTTGTATTCATAGGAAAATATGTCTTTTATCATCAAGCTAAGCATAAGCATATCATGTTTTTTCTCTTTTATCTTTTTAATGTAGTAGTACAGACATAATAATAAAATGGATCATGATCTTTTTTATTTGGGGAGGGTATCTCATTATGTTGCCCAGGCTGTCCTTAAACTCCTAGGCTCAGGTGATGGCCCTGCCTTGTCCTAACCAGCAGCTGGGATTACAGGTGTGAGTCTGCATCAGGCTTCTTATCTTTTTAGTGTGTGTGAGCGGGGGGGCTCAGATCCAGGGCCTCATGCATGATAGGCAACTGCTCTACCACTGAGCTCCACTCTTAGCTCCTTTTAATAATTTTTAAGTAAGTTCATTAAAATTAAGTAAATTCATATGTACAGCCATCACTGCCATCTATCTCTTAATTTTGCAAAACTGAAATTATATATTCATTGAGCAGTAGCTCCTTACTCCTCTCTCGCTCCAGCCCCTGGTGGTAACCACCATTGTATTTTCTCTCTGTACCTTATATAAGTAGAATCATAGTGTTTACATTTTTGTGACTACCTTATTGGAGTTAACATAATGGCCTCAGTGTTTATCCATGTTGTAGCATAGGTTATAATTTCCTTCCTATTATGGCTGAATAATATTCCATTATGTATATACAACAATTTGCTTATCTGCTTACCTTTTGAATGGACACTTGGACTCTTCCCATGTTGGCTATTTTATGAATAATGCTGCTGTGAACATTAACATACAAATACTCTTCAAGACTGTACTTTGAATTCTTTTGGGTATATCCCCACCAGTGGAATTGCTGGGTTTTATGGCAGTTTTATTTTTTTTAAACACCTTTATTTGTTTATTTTTATGTGGTGCTAAGGATCAAACCCAGTGCCTCACACATGCTAGGCAAGTGCTCTGTCACTGAGCTATAATTCCAGCTTGGCAATTCTGTTTTATTTATTTATTTTTTAATATTTATTTTTTAGTTGTAGTTGGACACAATACCTTTATTTTATTTATTTATTTTTATGTTGTGCTGAGGATCAAACCCAGGGCTAGTGCTCTACTGCTGAGCTACGATCCCAACCCATGGCAATTCTATTTTTAATTTTAAGAAACAGCCATACCATTTTCCATATATATTCCTGGTAACAGTATACAAGGGCTCCAATTTTTCCTTGTCTTTGACAACTTTTTTTTTTTTTTCCTTACGAGGTACTGAACCCAGGTGTGCTGTACCAGTGATCCATATTCCTAGTCCTTTTTAGTTTTTATCTTAATCTAGGGTCTAGCTTAATTGCACAGGTTGGCTTCGAGTATGCAGTTCTGCCTTAGCCTCCTGAATAGTTGAGATTACAGAGGTGCATTACCACCACTCCTGGCTTATATTTTTTCTTTCTTTTTTTTTTTTTAATAGTTATCCATTCTAATAGGTGTGAAGTGGTTACATTATAATTAATTCAATAATTATTTTGGGGAGACTSTAGCTTCAACCTAGGGCCTTGCATGTGTTAGGCAAGTGTTCTGCCACTGAGTAAATCCCCAGCCTTCACAGTATAATTATTTTTAAAATTATTTAAAAATTTTTAAAATTTATTTATTTATTTTTTAGTTGTAGTTGGACACAGTACCTTTATTCTGTTCATTTATTTTTATGTGGTGCTGAGGATTGAACCCAGGGACCCGCATGTGCTAGGTGAGCGTCCACCACTGAGCCACATCCCCAGCCCCCCCCCCCAGTATAATTTTTTAAAAAACATTTTTTAGTTGTAGTTATTRATGGGTCTTTATTTTATTTATTTGTTTTTATGTGGTTCTGAGGATTGAATCCAGTGCCTCACACATGCCTGGCAAGTGCTCTATCACTGAGCTACATTCCCGCCCCCCACAGTATAATTTTTTTTTAACATTTATTTTTTAGGTGTAGATGGACACAACACAATGCCTTTATTTTTATGTGGTGCGGAGGATTGAACCCGGGTCCCACCCGTGCTAGGTGAGCGCTCTACCGCTGAGCCACAATCCCAATTCCCCTACAATATAATTTTTAATTATTTATTTTTCTAAAGAAAAATAAAGTTATTGAATTATGATAAACTTTTTTATTTTGAGACATTCTTAAGGAGGATATAAAGATACATGTTAGAGATGATAGACTTTCATATGAAGGGCAGGATAAGTTAGGTCACTTCTTTTATTAATGTTACTATAATATTGATGTTCAGTAAATAATGTTGATGTGATTGCAGGTAAATTGGCAGGATGAGGAGCAGCAAATCAAAAGAGGTGCCTTTACTAAATCCAAGGAACTCTCAAAGCAAGGATACTGTTCAAGGTATTTTTTTTTTTTCAAACTGAACTCCATCCTTTGTTTAAGTCATATATATATTAAATCCTGATCTAATCAAGAAATGAAAATTATATACATGCTTGGTTTATAAAAAGTGGATAATTTTAAAATTTACTTTTGATTTGAATATAAAGGTGCCTCACCTTAAATGGAATTCTGTGATGAACTGTTTTGTAAAGAAAAAAAATCTTTTTTTTTTKAAATGAAACTATGTATGTAAAATTAGTTTTATACAATTTTTAAAAAATTCTGACATTTAATGTCAATAAATGATATAATGCAGTTCCTAGTACAATTACAGTGCGCTGATAATAACAAAAGAAATATTCTCCAAATTGAACTCCTTTTAAATCATGCATTAGAGGTAACTTTAAGGCGTGATATTTAAGGGAAATCAACTGGAATACATCTGGAGGAAGATTATTGGGATTATGAGGGACCTGGAAATCAAGTTATATGGGAAGTATTTAGAGGAAGTGAAAATGTGTATGCTGGGAAAGGATGACTTGTGGAAAATATGTGGCCTTAAACTGTTTGAAGGGCTTTTATTTGAAAGACTAAATAGATTTTACTTCTATTGGTAGCTTGAAGTTGGAGTAGTTTTCTAATTTTTTTTACATTGTAATATGAAATATAAAACAATACAAAATTTTCTATTTGTTTAACTCATTGGGGTAAATTGAGGATACTGTTTATTTTTGGAGATGTCTGCTCTAGTTATAGGTGGAATATCAGTCCAGCTGTCCTAAGGACTAATGATATCAGTGTCTATTTAACTCTAAATTACATGTTGGAAAAGCTTAACAKTTACAAATATGCTAGTTAAGGAGAAAAAGCATATTTTGGTTCAGTATAAAAAAGTACTTGCTGAGGAATAGTTTTGCCTAACAAAGTGATTCTCAAACTTTTGAGTGTTATTTTGGAGCTTTTTAAAATTAATGTTTCGGACCACTTCAGAGCTTCTGATTGAGTAAATATTACTTTTTCCCAGTAGACATAACCACACCGTGGGATGCACTTTCTCAGACCAAGGCTGCTGTAAGTAGTGTTAGCTTCCACTTTTTAATTTGTTTTGAAATTAATTTTTTGTTGTGATTGGATAGATTAAAATGTTTTTTGTAGCATTTTTTTGAAAGGAAAGTTATGGTAAGAAGTTATATCATATATATTACAAAATGAACATATTAAATAGTAGAAAAATATATAAGACACTAAATATCAGGAACACTAGCCCTTGGCATATAAAATAAACTTATGCTATTTACTCCCCGTTTATCAAGTTGTTCATTTGACATGTTGAAATGAAGATTTAAACAGTGAATTTGAGAAGGTGGTAAGGCTATGTTATGTAGAAGGCTCATTGTCAGGAGGAAGTGTAAGGAACCAGCATTTCCATGAATGAATTGTGAGTTACTGTGTGTGTGTGTGTGTGTGTGTGTGTGTGTGTGTGTGTAAGGGGGGGGCGGAAGAGGGAGAGAAAGAAATAGACTGTTTTCTCTATACTGTTAAAGAAAAACGATTGTGGACAATCTGTTCCCATTTGTGTTCTCAATCTTGTCTGGGTTTTAGGAATTTAAATATGCAAGCAATACTTAGTTCCAGACTTCAAAGAGAAACACTACTCTTTCACATGCTTTCTGGGGAAATAGTCTTGTAATAGTCTTTTTTTTTTTAAATTTTTTTTTCTTCTAGTTGCCAATGGACCTTTATTTATTTATATGGGGTGCTGATAATCAAACAATGCCTCACCCATGCTATGCAAGCACTCTACCACTGAGCCA